CTGATGCTGATGTTGAAGAATATAACACTTCGCCATCTCATTAGCCTTTTTCTACCGGGCATACTCCCCTTTCTCATGCTCAGGAGCATCAACTGCGGGCTCTGCCGGGCAAGCCTCAGTAATTAGGACCAGTAAGTTTAATTTCTTTTAGAATGACAGATAACAGATTAAATGACATGATGAATATCTGAAAAACACAAAAATAATTTTACAAATTAAACACATCTGAATTTAATTGTTAATATTGGCATCCTCAAAACAATATTAACTTATATTCACCGACATCTCAAAACACCGAGAGTTAATGCATGATACGAAGGTAACCCTATATAACTCAACATTCGCAAGAGAGGGGCTTTCAAAGGCCCATTAATTTCCATAAGTCAAAACCAAATTCATGACGAACGAAATTAATAGTTAGTCTCCATTTGGCCATGCAATAAATTCAGGGACCCCGAGGGGAGTTATAAATAAATTGCATTCTAAGTGAATCCCATTTCTTGATCCAGAGTTCATACGAATTCGATTATATGTCATCCGAGGGGAAGCCCGTACTCTCTCATAAGACTCCCTCTAATCGTCTAATTATAAATTCGTCCTGGTAATTACCTACAATTAATTTTAGTGATGTCACCCGAGGAGGAAGCCATACCGCAATTAACTGATTTACCGACAAATTAGAAATGGAGGCCTTAGGAATTTTAAAATTAACTGTAATTTAAAATCCCTTCTCAAACTTAATATAATTTAAATGAGGATTTTTACTTATTTAAATATTTATGCAATTCTAAATTAATCCTATGTAAATGCAATAATTAATTAAGATGCATAAATAAATATACAATTCTAAATTAATCACATGCAAATACAATAATTAATTAACATGCATAAATAAATAAAATAAATAAATAATGGCATAATGAATTTAAATAAATAAATAAATCCACTATTATGGCCATTAAATATTGAGTTCCCATAAACAAGGAAACCTTGTATATTTTCTTTCCCTGTCCAACTGGAACTCCCACTGCAATAGAATCCTTGTAGATCTTGTACTGCTTGGACACCAAGCTCTCCACCTTCGATAGCCCGCCGCCGCCGGTAGTCGAAAAAAAATTTATATTTTTTTTAGCGCGGCTTCGTGCGCATCTCTGGGCTCCAATCCGGTTGCTTTTTCGAGGCTCGTTGATCTCTTGTAATCTCCTGGCAATTAATTCACGATTACAACACGAAAAATATAATTTACAAATTACATAATCCGATCCTAGATCCAACGAATGGATGTACATGTTTTCTAAACAAAATAATTAAATCTATTCGGTCAACCCCAGGGCGAATAATTATTACAAACATTCATCCATAAAATTCCTCGACATGTCTGAGACTTTAAAAAAAAATTTAAAACCATACATCACATTCATCATCATTCATCAAACACATAGTCGGCCATAATAGTGGATTAAACTAATTCCTGCAAAACCGAGTTATGCGAATATAATCCAATATATGGCTGCGTTTGAACACATCTTCACAAATAAAGCCGTAAAAATTCAAACGTGTACACAACGAATTAAACCAAGTACTCTGATACCACTTGTTGAGATATGTGAGGATCTCGTTATGTACAAATCACGAATTAAAACGTAAACCTGTGCGCAACGGATCTAAAGGTTTGCGTAGAGAACTTACGGCTTAAAATTTATGGCAATCTGGTTGATCTTCTGGATGGTCGTACACAGCACACCAATGAAAGGTTGACTGCAAATCGCGTCTTAGGGTTGCATGAACAAGATCGGATCGAAAACTAGATCAAACGGGTGCAAAAAATGGAAGAAGACAAGTTGCAGTCATGGGAGCTTCCAGCGGCGCGTGAGGGCGTGTGCGGCGTCGGATGGCAGCATTGGAAAGCGCTCGTCGATACGGTTGTCTGGGTATGTTGCACGTCTTAATCGGACCCCTGGTTAGTTCTGTACGATAAAATATATTTCATCCCGGTTTACCTACAGATCTTCTACTGTATGTCTAAAACACCTCTTAATCTTGTACTGGTGGAACAATAAGAAGAAGATAAAACTCGAATGGGAACTGAGAGAGAGAATATCACGTGGGGCGTGTTTCACGAGTTGTGGAATTGTGTTTCATGTGTTCTCTTCCCATTAGCTTAATGATGTATATATAGAGCTACAGTAGGGACCCTTAGGAGATTAAGAGAAGGGCTCCTTAACTTTTTAAAATACTTGTGGACCAAGCCACCTATTTTAATTAATTAAATAATATTAAATGGGCCACCAACATAATATTATTGCACTCCCTTTTCCTAGCCCAATTTACAATTGAGACTCCAATAATAATTACTCGATTTAACTCCCCATGTTTAAGATATAATGTCCATTAATTAATTCGATTACTGACAATCAAAAATTAATTAATTTATTATTATTTCACCGAAGCTAACACTCGTTCATCACATTATTACTATGCCTAAATTTAATCCACCTGCAGGGTTTAGCATAATAATCCTTCATGAACTCACTCTGGGGACATCATCATACTAATGTACATGGTGACCGTAAATATCCTAACAGCACATCCTACATGCAGCAATATTACCAAGACATCGAGTCTATTGGCCCAGTACACTAAGCCTGACCCATGTGAATCAAAGTAATAAGTACTACACATATATGCCTGTTTAATATCTTACGGGTGGAGAGTACGTAGTAATTAACCGAGGCCTAATTCGTTTACGACGATCAGTATAAAACGAACTGCTCCTCTCTGGGATCCCGTTCAATACATAAATGTACTAGTGCAATTAATCAGTCAAGAGAAACTGTACGGTTGACACTACAACCGTTCACGATATGGTGTTCATGTCCATCTGGGTTGTGAACCAATTATTCTTGTTTCGCGAGTAACTGATAGCATGATCTTCGGTTCGCCCGATGACGACCCATACTATCTAATGCAAAACAACATAACGTAGAACTTGTTTAATCTAACATGTTTCTCATTCATAAAGGGTAAAAGTGTAATATCATCCAAAGTCAAGCTCTCAGTATATAATACAAACAGAGAGTGTTTTGTAAAACACGAGTGTAATTCTTTTCGCAATAAAATATCTGCAGTCTGGAGACGTAGGCATTATTGGCGAACTCCGTTATCAATTTGGTGTGCCAAATTTTTCTTTTTTATTTCACTTTTATAGATCCAATTTCATGGAAATTTCAACGTATTTTTTTGAACATTTGGCCTTTTAGGTCTATAAGATCGTGTACCTCTCAGAGAACCCTTCAACTTTTCTCCGTAACCTCTCTGTCGATGGGATGCAGAAGAGTAACCTTTCGATACATATGACCTAGGGACCACAACCCTTTATGTACATTAAGTTACATTGGACATCTCTATTTTAACCCATCATTAAAATAGAAACTCATTAGTTTCTACAAATTAAAGGCCCACACCCTATTGATACTTTAAAGCCCAATAACTTTAAAACTTAGCTGATCACTTTTATTTGAGCTTCTTTATTTGACAACCACAATATAATATTTATTCCACATATTAGCCCAATGTTGGATTAAGGATCCAACATGCGCCACCTAGGCGCTCCTAGGTGGGCTCGGCGGATTTTTTTTATTTTTTTTATTTTTATAAATACTAATTACATTATTTTGTTATCATGTTTTTTTTATAATATACTAATATTATTATTTGGACTTAGGCGTGTTGATTTATTATAAGTTGAGATAGTTTTATTTTGTAGATAGCAAAAATAAATAAAATATAAAGTATTGAATCTTGATTTCTAGACCCCGCCTAGGCGCTAGGGCTGGTCGAGCGCCTCGCGGCTTCTAGAACACTGACTTTAATCCCTATTTCTACTCTAACATTCAATTTTCTACTATAGAGTAAACTGAAGTAAAAAATTATTTTCTCCAACTACATTTTACTTTACATAAAATATTTTCCTTTCATTCTTATTATTTTAAAATAATTTTAACAATCTAATAATTTGTTGGAATTTTTTTTTTTACACATTTAATTATCCAAATTTCTATTATATGGTTATAAAAAAAAATCTAAAATACAATTTTGGTCTTATTAAATTAGGGTTTATTGCATCAATTTTCCTTGTATATAATTTCCTTGTATTTTAAAAATTGTGTCAATGAATCATAAAGTCACATTAAGTGATATTATAATCTAAAACTTTTTTTCAAACTAATCATTTAATTTTTTTAACTCATTAAGCCAGTTTTTTTTATAAACATTAGTTAATTATTTTTTATGATATAACCAAACCTTTTAAAATTTCGTGCATAATTGCTATAATAATTATTTCAATATTGTTTTAACTAATCGGTTGTTCATAATCATCAAAGGTTGCAAAAATGATATTATTGGAATCAATATAAAGATTAAAATGTAAGTTAATAGTTAAACTTTATAGCGTTCAATTTTACTAATGATAAAATTTATTAAATGTGATGTGCTAATTATTTAACTTATGGTTTTAAATATCACACATACACATATAAGTATAACATTTAAAATTTTATTTACGAGTTCACACGTAAATAGAAACAACTTAGCCTCAATATGATTATAATATCTTCTAGTGAATTTGCATCAGAGGGGTGCAAATGTAGCTGCATCACACGTAAGAAACCAGTAACACTGTAACAGTGTTCAGGGGTGCAAATGTAGCTGCAACTGTCATTTATGAGAATAAAGCTCAAGTACCAAATAGAATCAACACCCCCACAAACTATATGTAATCCAAATAAAAGTTAGAAAAAACAAGAGTGGCCATTGCAAGCCCCCATCAGACCTCAACTCATATGATGCCAAAATATCATTCACACAAATTTCAAAAGCCGATAGATCATCCTCGTCCAGTAGGACAATAGCCATCATATCACAAGGCCCAGCTGCCACTCAACTTTTCACGACTTAATCAAATTGTTAGAATTGAAATAATAAAAAAAAAAGGCTTCTCAGTCAGTTTTAGTGCAGTGTGCGTCTGTACTGTGCCGTGTGCATTGACGGTAACCCATATGATGAAGGAACTCTCTAATCTCTCTGGCACTGCTGTTGCTCGCCTCTAACAAACGCTCATCCTCTTCATATATTACGTATGGAGCTTCACCTTTTTTTCTTGACAGAAGTTTTGAGGCGCCCTTTAGGACATGGTACTCCCAACCTTGAACGTCTATCTTGAGCAGCAACACACGCTCAGAATCTTGGATCACTTGATCGAGACGGATGGACCGAACTTGAAGTGCGATTTCTTCATTTGATTTGAAAGCCATCTTTGCACCAGTGGCTGAAACTGCACTGTTGTCCAGCCGGCCGACCAACTAACCATTTTCAAATCACAAAAAGAAAATGAGCACGGTGCAAATTTAAAATCACAAGTTTTCCCATTTTTAAGCAGGAAATTTCAAACCACAAGTTCTCAAATGATCTTTGATGGTAAACTACATATGATAACCAACTCTCGCTTGATATGGTAGGTTATAAACAATAAGCAGGATATTTTGCTTGGAATCAATCCACAGAATAGGCAACTCTCTCGTTCACATCACAAATACTTTTCAGATTTTTTTCTCCCACAACGTATATATGAATCTCTACCACATATCTAGCCAGAAATGGGATCAACCAAAGAAGGATCTGTTTTAACAAGACATAATACATATATATAGTTGTTAAAAATATCAGGATAAGGCTTACTTCATAAACACAAGCCTTTTCTACCTTATTTTATAATACTATACGCGCACTATTATACAAAATACACTCGTTAAGCTATCAAAATAAGTCACGCCTTCATACCCGGTCAAAGAAGACGAACTTATCCAAAATCACAACGTAATTTGTCAGGCAGACAAAAGCAGCAACAATAAATGTCCGACAAGGATAACATACTGTCTAATTCATAGAAGGTTATGAATAGACCAGTTGCGCAGATATGATGATTTTCATCACAAGTTCACTCACAGATGATGTAACTGTCACCACTTAATCTCATTGCCTAGAATATCAGGTTAAATGCTTATGAAAAGTGTCAACACTATATTTAACCGAGTGTTTTACAGCCATGCGGTGTTGAGTTTTACCTCTATTGATTCAGATACATAGTATTCCAATTCCTTAAGGCTTTATCTTGTATCCCTAAGAGATTTTTAATTCATAATAACAAAACATTGGATTCAACAGATTTCAGATCCTTAGGCAGTTAAGCTCTTTTCTGGAACTATCTTTGGAGGCATTTGGGTTGACATGGAATCAAATCCTCAAATCCGAATCCGGAAACCAACAAGTTCAACCAAGATTAGAATTTTGTAAAATCATAATGCTGAATAACAAAAAAATCATTGATTACAAAGAAACATGTAGCATCTGTCCTATTAACACTAATTAACATCACACACACACACACACACACACACACACACACACACACACACACACACACACACACACACAGAGAGAGAGAGAGAGAGACAGTGCAAAGCAAACAAAGCTAAAACAACACCAAAGGGGAAAAGAAAACAAAGGAAGAAAAATACATGTACCTTATGGAAGGTGAGGTTGCCGGCGGTATCAGAGGCAGCGGCCTCAAACAGCTGCACTAACTCCCCAACTCTATTGAAATAAATCCCTTCACAAATCCGCTGCAAGTTCTCAAAAACAGGCTCAAAGGCCAACACCTTGAACCCCATCACAGCCGCAGCAAAGGTGGCCATCCCCACATTGGCCCCAACATCGACGAAAATCCCTTTCCTGTCCTCCTTCTTCAGCAAATCCTGGACGGTGGCCGATATATCTGGTCTCCTAAAGGGCTTGCCCTTGAGCGTCCTGACGATGTTCTTGTGGGGCTTGTCGGGCAAACTCCCAAAATCGGAAAGGGAATAGAGGAAAGGGAATTTGAGACCCTCGACGGTGTTGGCGAACACGGGGTGGGCCTGTGGGGAACTGTAGCAATCGAATGGTTTGATGGGTCGGGTCGGGTCGAGGACGAAGGAATGGTATGTGTCGGTGGTGTGGGGATTTCTGGTGGAGAGATAGAGGAAGGCGAGGAAGAGGAGGGAGGAGGAGACGAACAGGATTAGGTTCTTGGGGCTCAGTATCTTGGTGGGTTGGTTTCGTTTCCAGGCATTTGCCATGGAAAAATCCAAGTTTAGATCGGATCAAATATTACTGGATCTTGCACCGCACTTTTTTCAGTGTTTAGTGCGGAAGGAACACGACGAAACTGGGCTCTCTCCCTTGTAGTTTGTGTATGTGAATATCATCAAAGGGATGAGAAAGGAGTACAAAAGCGAATGCTTATGTAAATATTTATGATTAATGAATAAAATTTAACGAAATAATATTTGTTTGAACTCTCAATTTATGTTTTTTTTTATTCTGAACTTTGAAAATGTAATTCATGAGCTTTTAGTTTTGTAAGTTTTTAATGATTTCTTGTACATGAGTATTTATAAATACAGAAAAATACCACAAGAAGGTTTAAGTGCCAAGAGATACCTTTTGAGATGTGTCCGATCGAGAACGGACGCATCTAAAGGCCAAAAGACACCTAATGGTCACCAGATGTCGCGACAGGCCGTGCACTGCAGGCTCGTACGAGCCCATCGGGACTAGAAATCGAGGTTATTCTTTTCTTACTCATTCCCAATGAACCTTCTAGAGTTCTAGCTTGCAAACTGCAAGATCGGGTCTTGTTTGGCTTATCCTAACATTCGTCAAAGTCTAATTATTTTGCAAATCTAATGAACGAAATATGAGTTAGTTAATTTCAATTGCTCAAACCTTACATTTCCCACATGATGGGACAAAGATCCCGGCTCCCTCGACTCGGACGGCCACCGTACCTGCAAGAACCCAAAGCCAGGAACCCCGGGAGGTGCCCGGCTTTGGGCCTCCGACGCTTAAGTCAGTACTGTATTCATATGCATAGAGAGAGAGTAGGGAGGGAGTGTAGAGAGAGAGAGAGAGAGAGTGTGTGGAAAATGAGTACCTTAGCCCCCCCTTTTATAGGGGAGTGTACCTTATATTCCAAATTGGGATTGGCCTAAGTTGGGCTTTGCCCATACTATCATATCAAGTGTCTCAGCCCATGTATGGGCGTATTCTTCAATATATATCCATAAAAACCGGTCGGGTATGACATGCTATATATCAGATACTAACGGTCGAGCCGGCAGTACTAGCTGTGGTTATATCATCTAGTCCCCCCCACTCTGGTCGAGTGAGCATAACTCGATCCAAGAGTAAAGTAGAACAATTCGCCGCTGGAGTCAAACACTGAAAACTGAATGGTTGTAGAAGTCGAAAGTTAAGTGACCCGCCACTGGGGTCAAGCACCGGAAGCCAAGATTCGAGAGACCGCTGAGGTCGAAAACCAAAAATCGAGTAATCGTTAATGAGGTTGAAAGTCGAGATTCAAGAGACTGCTGAGGTCGAAAAATGAGAGTGGAGACCGCTGAGGTCGAAAATCGAGAGTGGAGACCATTGAGGTAAAAAACCGAGAGTCGAGAATGTTGAGGTCGAAAACCGAGAGTCGAGACCGTTGAGGTCGAGAACCGAGAGTCGAGACTGTTGAGGTCGGGATCCGAGAGTAGAGACCGCTGAGGTCGAGAATCGAGAGTTGAGACTGTTGAGGTCCAAAACCGAGAGTAGAGACTGTTGAGGTCGGGATCCGAGAGTAGAGACCGCTGAGGTCGAGAACCGAGAGTCGAGACCGTTGAGGTCGAGAACCGAGAGTCGAGACCGTTGAGGTCGGGATCCGAGAGTAGAGACCGTTGAGGTCGAGATCCCAGAGTCGAGACCGTTGAGGTCGAGAACCGAGAGTCGAGAACCGAGAGTCAAGAGACCGTTGACCGAAGTCTTGAATTTGAAAGTTTTGAATTTACGTCTGTTGTGTTTCGATCACCATGTTCGAGTTCCCTTATACCACCTCGTCCTATCGCCCCTCAATTCAAAGTTTAAAATTCAAGCCTGATGTATATATTCCTTTGAAAAATAAATCCACCAACCTGCTCGAGCAATAAAAACATACTCGACCCGCCATTGAGGTCGAAAAATAAATTTGACGGACTCATAATCAAAATAAAATGTGATCGACCTGCTTGAGCCACAATGAATCTCATCTGCCTACCTTTGGAGTCGAAAAATCAATTCGATAGAAGCATAATCAAATAAAACGCAATCAACCTGCTCGAGCGATAATGAATATGCTCGATCTTCCACCGAGGTCGAAATACAATTTCGATAAAATCAAGCAAGAATCAACATCAACCTGCTCGAGCAATAATGAATATATTCGATCTTCCACCGAGGTCGAAAAACAATTTCAATAAAATTAAGCAAAAATCAACATCAACCTGCTCGAGCGATAATGAATATACTCGACCTTCCACCGAGGTCGAAAAACAATTTCGACAAAATCAAGCAAGAATCAACATCAACCTGCTCGAGCCGTAATCGATACACTGGGCTTTCCACTGAGGTCGAAAAACAACACTATGATAACAATCGATCATCTATGTTTGAACACATGCCCCCCCCCCCGAAGGGTGGTCGACACATACGGCCATCTTCATTTGACGGGTTTTTCTTTGAACGCATGCCCACCCTCGGAGGGGTGGTCGACACATACGACCATGTTCGTTCGACGAGTTTGAATCATGGTGAACCACCCAGCCCGGAGGCCTTTATCATCTCGAAATCATAACTTCGTAGTTGTGTAGGTCGACTTCGCAGTCGTAGGCTTCCTAGCCTTTGTCGAGATTCCACTCGAGGCATACAACTTCGTAGTTGTTTAGATCGACTTCGTAGCCGTAGTGTAACACCCCACTTTGAATTTACAGAAATTTCGAATTTTCAAAAAAAAAACAGAATAAAATTTTCAAAATCATTTTCGAAAACTTAGTGGGTGTTAACTAACATTTCTCATATCCCAAGTCTTATCTGGGCTCACGGGGATTCATTACCCG